TCTACAACAAAAGTAGGCTTTAATTAGATGCTTATCACACGAGCGGCCACCCACGGCGCACCGAGGCGGCGACTGTTGCGACATCGAGAGTGATTCAGTCTCAAAACACTTTCGTCTGACAAACCCCACGTGGGAGTACTATTTTTACAATAGTCGCCGATGTTTGTATGTGTCGTACAGTTACAAATTGTACTTATATAAAAGGTATAGAACGTCAATTGCCAATTTATGTATTCTCATTTGTTTCGATGGCGGAATACTTGACTTGAGTGTCATATAATATGAGCTGGTTTTGTTTGAATGACAGATTTAGTGGTGTTTGAAATATGCTCTATAGAGAATTGAAGTCAGTATAATGTACTGTTTAAACCGTTTTCATTCGTTATAGTATTCTATTCTGTTAAGAGTATTAAATACTGCGCGAATTCTGAGCAATTCTTTCTAAAGCATTTAGATAAGTGCTAGCTGTTGCCCGCGACTTCGTTCGCGTGGTATTAGAAAACGTACGAACTATATTAAAACAAATATCCACGTATCCCTCGAGAACCGAACATTTCTCGGGAATAAACCTTATACCATGTGTACTCCAGACTTTGTTTGTTAAATTTCAATAAGATATGTTGAACCGTTGCGAAATGATCGAGTAAACATTAAAAAACTAAATTAATGAATCCCACGGGAACCGTAAATATTCCCGAGATAAAAAGTAGCCTATGTGTTCTTTCAGACTATGCTCTAAACCTGTGCCAAATTTCATGGAGATCCGTTCAGCCGTTTAGGCTACAAACGCTATCAAACATCCATCCATGCATCAAAACTTTTGCATTTATAATATTAGTAAGAAGTAAGATTTAGATTAAGGCTTTAAGTAAAGTCCGAATTTTATGTTTTAACTTAGAATTAATTAATGTTTAATACCATCATGCTTTGAGCCCTTGTACTCTAAAATAACAGTCCATTATTGTTCTCTACCATCATAATCATGTCACAACTAAACAACAAAATACCAAATCGCCAGTAGGCATATGCTGTACAGAAAAAAACCGAGGTCACAATTCTAAACCGCTAAAATGATTAATGTACTTACTTCTTTGTTCTGTCTTCAATCGTTTGTTTTGACATTAATTGGTGTGTAATTAACAATAGGACGTAATTCGAAGCAATTACGTTTTTATTTACGCTAACGTGAAGTATATGAGCAATTAGAAATACTTAAACGCAATTACATACATATTTATAACGAATATAAACAAAAAAATGTAACTAATACAAATACAGAAATATGTAAATACATTTAACTTTGTATTCAATTTATCCTACTTAAGCCAAAATTACTTAAATTTCACTAATTTTGTAAAAAAAACGTTCTTAGACAAAATATGTTGTAGTTCAAACGTATGCCGGACAATAAAAAACATTTGTTAGTATTAATATATAGTTTCCCAAGCTCTCCCATATTCATTGTCCAAACAAATCTGAAAATAGTTACCCTCGCACTGCGTTGACAAAACCAGCGATCGGCCGCGACCGCCGTTGTAAACAAGCGTTTATTATCAACGCCGTAAAACGCAGCGTTTACTGACGCCGTGTGGGTGGTCCCTTATACCATGTGAACAAATATGAGGTGAGACAGAAATAGTCGGATATGAGACGAATGTTATTAGTGTTTAGATGGCTTTATACAACGAGCTTTCGCCTGCGACTCCGTCCGGAATTAAAAAACGTGAGTCTGTGTTCTTCCAGAATATCCTCTACATCTATACCAAATTTCATCGAAATACCCAAACGCTTTAGACTACAAACTGTAACAAACATCCATCCATCTAAACTTTCACATTTATGTATAATATTAGTATGATTTGACTATCATATCATTACTTCTTACTTGCACTAGCTTTGAATTTTTCGTGAGGAACATGTAAAAATGACCTACCTTCACGCAATTAAAAGTCATGAAGCAAGCATTCTTGTCAACTGCAGTAACGTAATTATCGATATTAGAAGTTTTAAATGCAGTAGCTATCATCAACCTACACTAAGCAACAATAAACAAATCGGGAAGTCTCTGATATACCCTAAACTTTGTGATTGCATCCTAACGATCCATCCTACCCTTAGACAAAGATAACCATGCTGGTTAAGCATATTGTTTATGCAAATACAAACCTTATTGCATTGTAATAAGTGTTAGTACTAATTGTGCAAATGATGTAATATTTGGTTTATGTTTATTGTGACAATTAAGCAAGTTTTACGGTTTTATTGTAGAGGCTCTGATGAGTGTCAACTTCTGGGAAACGCCGAGTGAGTGGTAGAGACGCCGGTGTCATTAAGAGCTGTAAAACGCGACGACAGACTCGTAACGAGCCCCAATAAGTTTTACGACGTCAAACTGTGGACATGTCGATTGATTACGATGGAATTAACGTCTATATTTATGCAAGTAATCTTCTATGAATCAAAAAAATTCGTATCCATAAAACATTATAATTTGAAGATTATTATCGATGTTTAATTCTAAAAGAATGTTTGTGAATTCTTTAAGATAAAGTCTATTTTTGACCGACTTCCCAAAAGAAGGAGGTACTCAATTCGTCTGTGTGTTTTTATTTTTTTTATGTGTGTTACGGCATAACTCCGCCGCTAGTGGACCGATTTTGATAATTCTTTTTTTATCCGAAAGGTAATGCTTGCAGGTGGGTCCCATGTTTTTGTTTGATTTTTTAAATAAGATGGACAAACAAGCTAGCATCCTGAATTCGCCGAAATAACGAAGAAACAGCTGTGCATCCGTAATTGCAAACGTTTTACCTTCCAATGTAGGCGAAGACAGACACTTAACAGGAATATGCATAACAAAAGCCAATCATCATCCACTTGCTCTTATCCCTTACGGATGGTCAGCACAGTATTTGCTGCTCTTCCATACATCTCTATCAGCCGTCATATCTGAATCCACTTCTTTCTTAAGCATATTCTCTTTCACACAATCCATCCATACTTTCTTCGGTCTTCCTCTTCCTTTGTAGCCATCCACAGTCAATCTTAACACTTTCTGGTTTATGTCCCCATCATTTCGTCGCATAACATGGACATGTTATGCGACGAAACACGGTATGGACATACCACGCTAACCTTTTGCTTCTCAATTTCTCCACCACTGGCGCTACTTTCAAACTTCCTCTAATGTACACATTCTTGATATAAGCATAACAAAACCAATAATATTTATTAATTTGATTCACGTATACAAATTCGATTTTAAGAATGAAAACATTAACATAACTTAACCTAACTAAATGTGATGTATATTTTCGCAGTGCGAGCGTAGTCTTGCATTGTAAGAAGTATTTTATAGGGTCCATTAGGAAATATAAAGCGAAAAGATATAAGTTACATTAAACACATCTTTAGCCTTCGTAACAAACACCGTCGGCACCATAAAGAACCCACGGCGCCGATACGATCGCGTTACGGATACGTTGACATGCGTAGGCGCATCGTTCTTTATTTCTCTTATCAATTTGCATATTAAACTATAATAAGCCTTAATGCATAGTATTACAATTGCAATTCCTCCGCAAGCATCTCTGTAATATCTTATTTTTCATAAAAAGTTTTATTCCCGAGTTACTTAAATTTCGACTCTATATCTGCGGTGTAAATTTTAAATTTGTATGTGAAAGCAAATATCTGAAAATCGAGATTGCATTCGCGAACAAAGATATCTATTGCAGTTGCTTTGCATCTTATGTCTATCGCAATAAGATTTAGTTTTGTTTAACTTAGCTGTAATTTTATAAGATAGTTTCGCTTTCCGCGCTCGTCTCGCGTCGCCAGTAGGCTCACATGTGACGAGTATTGCATAAGAGGTCTTTGTTTTGCCGGTTCTTCAGTTGCGCTCTAAAGTTCATCACTACTTATACTCAAATTCACGAGACCTAAAATTTCGCAGCAACAATATTTCAATCAAAAGCAACTAACGTACTAATTTTAGTCCCTTTCTCTCTACCACCCTTTTCTCACAAGAAGAGAATGGAAAGAGGAAGTGGATTTGACGGTGGAGGATATGCATAGGAAGGGGAAATATCCTCTTTATGTGCGTCTCCTCCACCATCGGATAAGGGTAGGCAACGCATCTGCAATTGCGGATGTTTATGGGCAGCGGTCGCTTCGGCATTTCAGGCGGATTGAGGTGGCCGCTTGCTTGTTTGCCACCTTATGTTATAAAAAAAAAAATCCTTGAAAAGACAATGATAATTGATGGACGACAGATTAATTTTTGAACTATTATCTATCTGTACTAATATAATAAAGCGTAAACACACACTACTTTGTGGCGTAAGATGTCAGCAATCAAAGTATATTTTTGAATAATTCTTTCTTTAATACAAAGCCCTACAGTTACGTCACGCTTTAGGCTATATATTTTCACGCTATTACACTTAAGGGGTAAACAAATTGGATAAAAACCTTAATGTGTAAAAGTGACCATAAACTACAAGGAAAGAGACCATATGTTGCTGCCAACATCGAGGAAGTAAGATAGCCATAGTTTGTCATCATGTCGTGTCATTTTCACATTTGCAATTGATCATTTGACACATGTAAACTATTAAATAAAATTTTCATAAATTGAAGTTTAGTAAAAAAATTTTATTCTGCAGTGGATATTTTTGACAGTGTAGTATTGTTAAGAGGCATAATGAGTAATGGCACGTATTTTATTAACATTAACAAAATCCAAATATTCGTATAAAACTAACAATCTACCACTAGTTATTATACACAAATTAGACTTAGACTTAGATCACTTTGAATTCTATGACCTTAAATGGAGATGCAGACAACTAGATTTTTAGTTGTGCAACTAAAAAGTTGAATTAGCTTCAAAACAATCGACAATCGCACAACAGTTGTGCTATAGTTTATTCAAAGAAGCACATCTTGATATGGGATTAATCAAACCATACGAAAACTTATAAATTTGTGGTCTGCAGGTGATATGCAGAACGCAATGACAGTGGCCGCGGGCGACGTCTCCATCCCATAACGTCGTGCTGAAGGGTGACGTCACATGCACACGCACCAGAATTACACCACAGGCGTTTTGGCAAAAGGATTAATTACCTCTATTCAGTTAAATTTTAAGTTACATTTACACAGTATCACTTATTTAACTATTTGGTAAAACTCTATAACTTTCAAGTTACATTAAGAGATTGGTATAATAATATGGAGTCAAATAATTAATAACTAACAGTTAAAACTCTCTAAGACTATTTCTTCTACATCAGTGAAACAGATTAACTGATAAGCAATAGTCAAAACTTTATTCACGCTTCGAGTTTGATTGATGTAAGATGCAGTTCGACTTGCTACATTTAAATAACAACTAATAAAAGCCTGAGATTTTAATAATTTCATTAGTAAAGGAGAACGAGATCATCATTCTGTAAATATAAATAAGGAAATAAGAGAAAGTATGAAGTTAGAAAGAGAGTTTATGGGATTTTTTCTTCCCTCTGTCCTTAAATCTATATATATACTATTATAATAAAGCGTAAACACACACTTTTTGTTGCCTAAGATGTCAGCAATTACAGCATATTTTTGAATAATTCTTTCATTAATAAAAAGCCCTACACTTACATCACGCTTTAGGCTATATATTTTAACGCCATTAAACTTCGAGGGTAAATATTTTGAATAAAAACCCTAATGTGAGAAGAGTAAGTTGCTGCCAACATCAAGGAAGCTAGATTGCCAAGGTTTGTAATGTCATGTCATTTTGACATTTGCTATTGATAATTTCACAAATGTAAACAACATAATATCATGCATATATCCAAGTAATTGACGATCTCAAAGATAACATCTATGTTTCGAATAACCCTCATTATAAAAACTATTCTAGTACTCATGAGGTTCAGGAATTCCTGACATAACCAAGACACGGTAAAACTCCATTCAACCCACGGCACACAATTACATCTGATGTACAACTCTAAACAAGCTCCCTAATTGCCTAAATATGCTACCGAATGCCAGTAAATTGGCGCTGGTCCTCATAAATCGGTTGCGTAGGCGACGAACCCACTTATAACGTTTGCTTGTTAAATATCACAGGAATATCTTTAAATTTAGAATGACTCAAACCAACTTTGCATTAAAAGAATTGCTAAACTAATTTTGCAAGCAGATCCAAATTAAGGGTCTCTCCCACCACTGGCTGATAGAGGCTCAGATAGCTTAAAAGAGACGTCACTGTCAGATAGAGTACCCAAATTCGATATTTCCATCATATATTTAATACGTTTGTTATCCGCTAATTTATGAGAATTGTGGGACAGGCCCTAAAACTTTTTATTTTTATAAATAAATGGACATAATTTTGACTTGATATATTTTCATTTAGGAAAGTTATTTTGAATTAACATGCTTAATCAATTTGATTCAAATTTAACCTATCTAAAGATCGCAGAAACTTCAAACATCAACTATTTAGATAAGGCCCATAAAACACGAAAACTACCTCAACCCATAAGAAAGACTGGCTCAAAATAGCATTATTAAAAGCAAAATCTAGAAGATTAAACCTTGACATAATTGAATAATCTCAGTGTTGCAATACAAAAGATGGCAAGGAATTAATAACGTCTGCGACAAACAGAGCGGGACCGTGAATTGCTCGATCTTCGTTCAACAAAAATCACCAGTATAACCTGACCCCTTTAATGTCCAGTAGACTAGAATATAAAAATCTCTAATTAAAAATACTGAAATGATAAGATTTTTAATGATAAGACATTATAAAAAACATCACTAATTCCCTAAATTCTAAACAAGATAACTAACTAACAAGACACAAACTTAAAGTTGGTACAAAATTTGTTATAACAAAATAGTGGTCGATCTCCTAGTTCCTACACTAGGTTCTAGACCTGTGTTGTGGGAGGCAGGGTTCTTCCGTCTTAGTGCTAGATATTTAGGACATACGGTAATACAAATCTAAAGTAGTTTACAATAAAAAAGATACGTTGTATGTGAAAAATACAAATAAAATGGTGACACAAACAATTTTCTTTAATGTATCTACGAAGAGACGGATCAAGTTATAATGGTGGTTATTGCGCAAACCGTTCTAAGTGTATTTACAACAGCTTAAGTAGTGTTACAAATTGCCGTAAGACATGAAGATAACGGTCTCAGGTTCAAACTGCGAGATGTTCAGTGATTAATGTTATCTGATAGTTAGGGTGCAAAAGTATAACTGTTACCGGTAATATGTTAACATGGTCATTTTTTAATCGTGGCAATGTTGACTTATTTTAAACACGTATTTTTCGAAAGCTATAGGTAAATCACCATCATTACTTTGCTTGTTATTTTAACTTTATGCGTCAAATTGCTTGAATTATTTGTTTAGTCTCTATATCTCTCTCTCCCTTTCCTCTTAGTTAATACTATATCTAGCTATTTGATAATCTCACGAAGTACACAATCTATCAGTAACATGGCTACGTAAGTCTGCTACCAAATAATCTACTTTAGACGTTTAATTCAATGACTCATAGTAACTCAATGATTCGATTTGGACCCTCTCTAATGTAATTAGAATCGATTTGTTATATCGATATGATGTAATATCGAGTCAATAGTCGAATGAGCAAAGTCTATGATATTCTTAAGAACTAACAAAGGTACTATTCATTCAAAATTCAATTGGAACGGTAAAGTAGATTTTTTTAGTAATCGAGAATTGCAACTTATACCATGCATGACTTGCATGCATGACTTATGCAACATTCATCATCAGCTCACTATATATTCCAACTGAGGAGCTCGAAGTCTTCCCTAAGTTAGGGGTGATTTGCCTTACTCAGCCACGCTGTCTCACTACGCGTTGGTTGACTACACATCTTTGAATTCTTTCGCACAATGTGCAGGTTGCTTCACGATGTGTCTCTTCACTTTAAGAACGTCTGCTAAATATACAAATGACATTCTAGAACCACATTGTTACATTGCGGGGAACCTGGAGGTAGTGTTTATGGTTCGGTCTTATCAATTGCTTATGTAATGCGTCACTAACGCTTTGTAATGCGAGATTCTGTTACAAACATTATTTAAAACGTGATAGCAAACTTTTACTCTCAAATTCCAAAAGAAAAAGACCCCGTTAAGATTACCCAACGTCACCCAATTTACGTCAAAGATTTCCGCAAGCTCTTTATCCCATAAACGGCGATGACTAACAATATTTCAAAGTACAAGAAAAAACGGGAGAAAAGACGCTCTTGAGATATCAATTTGGAGGAAATTACGAGCTAATCTGTCACATCTAGATACGCCCGGGGCATAATCCTGTCTCCCCTATTTTTATTTTCTCCCGGCAAAAAGTGCCCCGGAATTATTTCAACCGTTTGTACAGGGGAACGATCTTGTTAATTTATCAATTGTTTGGTTAAGTGGATTTCGAAACGATAAAAAGAACAGGAGGAATTGTTTCTTATTACACGGTTGAGTTCTTTTATGACATATTTTTAACTTTTATATTAGTAATGTTTATACTGGAATCACAGATTATTATTACGATATTCTAATCGTATCCTATTCTAACACAATTTATAGAAATGTTTTTATATGTTATTCAGATTATTGTAGATTATTTCAATACCTTTATTTTTACTACTAGCTTTCACCTGCGACTCCGTCCGCGTGGAATTAAATAAACGAAAGTGAGTAAGCCTATGTGTTCTTCCAAACTATCCTCTACGTCTATGCCAAATTTCATCCAGATCCTTTCAGCCGTTTAGGCTACAAACTCTAACAAACATCCATCCATCCAACAACTAATTTTAAACGTTTCCTGTACTTATTTCATTTCCATAAAAAAAATATTGCTACAAAAATCTCCGTCGAATTAAGGGTTAAAAAAATCAACACATGCACCATGTTTTTTTTAAATGAAATCGAGACGTGTAATAAATAAAAAACACGATCGCCTTAAAACAAAAGCCAATGACAGCAACGTTTATCGTCTCCGATAAAAAAGCGCTTAAGAGAAAAAAAGTCATGACACGTCTCCCCTCGCCGAAATCTTTTGCCGACCGCTCCCGGGGGAGATTGCGCATTTACTCCCCCTCCCCTTCGCAGCAACACTAGAGCACTAATTGCTTCTTTGTTTTACTTAAACAACCGATTGCCATTTCCCTCCGTCTCTTTACGGGCCTTTGTTATTTCTTTGCAGGCTTTGTTTTTTTAATTATCTGTAATTTAAAGTTTAAAATACACTCTTGTAAGGACTTAAAAAGAAACTTAATATTTTTAGTATAAACTACGTTAAGAATTTACTCAAAACTAAATTATATATAGCTGCAAATTTTTAATGAATGGTAACATTCACTCCCGTAATCTAAACAGATAGACAGAGAGAGTCTTTGTCCAATATAATTTGTTTTAGCCAAAATAGGCAACACACAAAGAATTCTAAGCGATGTTAAAGTAACCGCCTTTACAAATAACTATTCACAAGAATTTCGTGTTTGTTATCCTTGCTTACCGCCAATCCCACACCGATGAAAGGACCGTCAAATTGTTGCTAACTAAATAATTAATTTTAGGACGCTTACCAAAATCTAGTTGAAACTAATCTATAAACCCTATATAACTTTAGAAGTTTGCTTTGTGTTTAATGTCAACACGTTTTCCTCACATCAAACGTATTTGCGGTCCAATTTATAAACTGAGAGCGGTTAGCATAGACTACAGATTTTTTATCGGCCGATACTTTGCTATAGCCTTGCTGTCGAATCAAAATCATATAAAACCCAATCGGTGTAATCTGCGCATTACTATATAGGTTTATACTAATTAAGACTCCAACTAAACTATCAGACGAAAAAAGTCTGTAGTCTGCTCGGAATCTTTACATGATTAAACGATGACACTTACCGCTCTTAAGACATTTCCGGCACAATAAATAATTTACAACTTGCTAAGACACGTATTATTTTGTTATTGATATTGGAAATAATTATTATTTAGTGCGGGTCTTCAATGTCAACACATTTGTGTATAAATATTTTGTCGTCTCGAGATATATAATCCAAGTATAATCCAAGAGTTTCGGCTTTAGTATTTAATGTACAAGAACATTTAGTAGGCATTTAAACATTTAGTGCGAATGACGAATGAAAATGTAACTTATATGAGACTGCCATATTTAGAGTATTAAAACGCTAATATCCCGCTTCGCTTATAGCCTTGGGCCCGTCTTAAAGTCGCCGTAGCTCTCTGTGATCGCTCACGCGTGTGATCCGCTCGACTAATATTATTCAGATCGGGGCTCGCAATTGTTTCCGTGCGGTGGCTCGGGGCACGACAGCTTTGACTTTTAATCAGTTAGCAAATATTTGGGCGTGCATATTGAGGAGGTTTGTGCAATTGTATTAGAGGGTTAGTGCGCGCCGCTGGCTGCTACATTGTCCGCGGTTCACTGAACACGGTATGTCACATGCCGGCTTCAAACGTTACATTCTAATGAAACAATCAGCTTTCATGTTCGCGATGCCCTCTGTTACTGTTATTG